GTAATTAATTTTAAAATCTTAGCATTACAAACTATAACAAATTTTCACTTATTACATTTTCATTTTATAATAACTGTAAAGACATACCATGGTACTTTTTTTATCAGTTACATTTTTTACTATGAATTAGATGAAGACAAGATGAAAGAATAGCAGGATAAAGAGGGAAAATAACAAGGTCGTTCCAATACTTTAAAAGTATACATAGCAATGTGATTAATAGTCCTACTTTTTAATAGATTAGTTACGCCATTTGCTTGTATTATGAGATATTTACAAACTCTTGGAATTACATACCCATTTGGGCAAACTGGATAGTTTAACTTAATAAGGTGTTGCACATCTTTAACTCAGTAGTAGAATGGAACTTTTTATCTGGTTTTTGATTGGTTGGTTGGTTGGTTGTTTTTTTTAAGGTGGTCATGATTTAAAAAATATTTAACCTTATTTATACTTAGAAACACAAATATAAAAATAGATTGCCAGCAGATTGTCTTTCCAAACTTAGAAAGAAATAACAAAGAATCTCAACAATGTAAATACACATACTCTCTCTTTTCTGAATCAGAGCTAATTTATCTGTAGCACATAATTTGTACCTGCAGTTCACGTGAAAAATTAGCAACCCTTAACATTGTTATAAGTGGAAAGCACTCTTGCAGCAGTGCATATTCAACTTGTATTAATAATAGAAAGCAATCCATATAATAAATCAGAATGAACTCTAGCCAACAACAAGAACAACAAAATCCATTTTCTGTTATCTCCATAATTATTTAAAGCTATTATGAGTGCAAACATTTAACTAAATGGAAAGGAACAAAAGTCTACTTGTCTCTTACTCTTAAAATTTGATTATTAGAAAGGATCACCATTTTGTTATCATTTTCAAAACTTGATGCTCTATCTCTCTCTCAAAAAAAAAAAAAGAGATGAAAATACTATCATTTTAGAAACTCGTCTTTGACCTTGTACAATCAGAAAACTAAAGAAAATAATTCCAGCTGTTGGGTTATGGTGCATTGGTGCATTTCTACTTTCTCAGATCACTGAACTTTTACTTTATTACAAGTCTGTTCACTTGAAACAAGGTGTGTGTACAGTAGGAAAATACTAGAAAGTAATATACAGAAACTACTTTACCCTCATTATCCTTTTTTAATAAAAAATCCCCAGGCAATTTGTTTTCAAAGAACTTGAATGTAAGTTTAAACTGAAACCACAAAATAATCCCTTAAGAAGCATAACCCTTAACATTCTATTTTACTCGCAGTATTAATATCAAGTCCAATGGAGCCAAGGAGATCTCTTAAACACTCTGTGTATTCAAATGCACAGCAGGCATAGCAGCAAAGGCATCATACAATAGTGGCTCAAAGTCAATGTGAGTTTTTTTGAATAACAAGTTACAAGACTTAACTGTGACAAATTGTATTAGGCTCATTAAAATTTCTCTTGAAAGTGCTTTAAAATGTGTGATAGTATATATTGATTGACTCACATCTGAAGAAAATATGCTATATGTTAAAAGAATTGTGCTTACTTCCTTGAAATAAAGTTTGGTTTTTGTTTTCTTGGAAATATACTCTGGTAAGTACACAATGACAATATTTTTATTGATATGCCACATCCAGGATAGATTTCTTCTTTCTGTAATACTGAATGATTCCTTCCAAAATGATTGAAGCAATTCAGTGTGTTGACGAAAGCGACATAAAGAATACTACAGCTGCCCAAATATAAAAGAAATCTTAACTTTCCAAATTCTGTTTTGTTGTTTGATGTAATATTTATACTCTTAAAAGTTCCAAATAATTATAGAAATTATGATGGATGAATTTTAAGATTTATTTTCAACAGAATCTCAACTAAAATCTTTAACAGGTATCAGGCAGTTACCTTCAATTGGTATTGATATTGGCTGTTTTAGTGATGCATCAGAGAGTGTGAAAATAAAGACCTAATTTACAGTCACTTATGAAAAAAACAATTATTATAAAATCATAAAATAATTTCCTTTAGAAGGGACCTCTGGAGATGATCTGATCCAAAATGCTCTTCAGAGGAGGTCAAATTACGACAGGTTACTTAGGGATGTATCCAGTCCAGTTGACTGTCTATGAGGATACAGACTTCAGAACCTCTCTAGACAAACTGTTATAATGTTTGACCACCCTCACAGTTGAGAAATGTCCTTGTATTTAAACAGAATATGCCACATTTCAACTTCAGTCTGTTCCCTTTTGTCTTATCAAGAATAGTCTGGATCCATCTTCTCTACACCCTCCCAGCAGGCAGCTGTAGACAGCAAGAAGATCTTCCTTCAGCCTTCTCTTTGGAGGCTAAATAAACCCAGTTGTCTCTGCCAGCCTCTCCTCATACATCAGTGCTTGAGGCCCTTAACCCTCTTGCTGATCCTCTGCTTGACTTGCAATGACTTGCATGTCATTGCCTTTCTTGTACTGGGGGACTCAACACAATGTGCTCCTGTGCTGGTTTTGGTTGGGATAGAATTAATTTTCTTCGCAGTAGATTGTATGGGGCAATGTTTTAGATCTGTGCTAAAAACAGCGCTGATAATGCAGGGATGTTCTCCTTATTGCTGAGCAATGTTTATACAGAGTCAAGGCCTGTTCTGCTTCTCACTCCACCCAACAAAGAGCAGGCTGAGGGTGCACAGGAATTTGGGAGGGGACACAGCTGACCCCAACTAACAAAAGGGATATTCCATACCATATGACATCATGGTCAGCAATGAAAAGCTGGGGAAGAAGAAGGAAGGGGGGACATTTGGAGCTATGGAGTCTGTCTTCCCAAGTCACTGTTACACGTGATGGAGCCCATCTGTCCTGGGGATGGCTGAGCCTCTGCCTGCCCATGGGAAGGGGTGAATGAATTCCTTGGTTTGCTTTGCATGCATGCACCACTTTTGCTTTACCTACTAAACTGTTTTTATCTCAACCCACAAGTTTTCTCACTTTTACCCTTCCAATCCTCTCCTTCATCTCACCTATGGGGAGCAAATGAGCGAGCAGCTCGGGGGGATTGAGTTGCCAGCTGGGATTAAACCATCACAGCTCCAGATGTGGTGTTGCCAGGGATGATGGAGGGGAAGAATCACTTACTGCAGTGTGCTGACTCTGCTCTTGCTGGTACAGCTGAGTATGCCTGTGGCTGCCTTCACCACAAGGGCACAACTTCTGCTTATGTTCAACATGTCCCTGAGCACCCAAGGTTCTTTTCTGCAGAAGTCTTTATCCAGTTGATGACCAGATCAGACTGATGTGCTGGATTATTCAGTCCTGGTGCAGGACTTTGAGTTTGTCTTTACTGTAAATGAGGAGATCTCAGTCAACTCATTTCTCCAGCACATTGAGGTCCAAGTGAATAGCAGCCTTAAATTCCAGCATACCAACCACTTCCCCTAGTTTGCTATCATCCACAAATTGATGAGGGTGCACTCCATCCCATTACCCGGGTTGTTTATAAAAACATCAAACAGTATCAGCCCCAGCATCTGTCCCTGAAGAATACCACTAGTAACTGGTCACCACTTAGACTTTGTGCTGTTGATCGCCACCATCTGAGCCTGATGTCCAGTCAATTTTCCCCCACCTTATAGTTCATCTATCCAGTCGGTATTTCACCAATGTCCTATAAAGATTCTATGCAGACTGTGTTGAAGGCCTTTTTAAGCTCAAGGTATACAATCTTCACTATTCTCAATGTTATCTCATCCATGGAGCCAAAGATAGAGAGCAATCTCAGGTATCTTCCAAAATTAGCATAACGTTTCAAAGATCATTAACAGCAACCTTATAATGAGGTTGGCTACCTCTATCAGAACTCTTGGATCCAGCCCACCTGACTCCACAGACTTCTCTACATCCAATTTGCATGTGTGGTCCTTGATCTGGTATTTCTGTGATGTGGACTTAACTGCCCCAGGCTCTGTCACTAGTCAGAGGGGCTTGGGAGGCCAGAAAGCAAACTTTACCAAGAAAGGCCAAAGGAAGGAAGGCAAAAAGTATCTCAGCCTTTTCCATGTCCTCTGTCCCTAGCTCTCTATCCCACTGATCAGTGGGATCACATTTTTCTTCATTTCCATTTGCTGCTGTTATACTTACTGAAGACTTTCTTGGTGTTGTCACATCCCTGCTGTCATATCCCTTCAACTCAAGCTGAGTTTTGGCTTTCCCAGTTCCAACCCTGCATGCTTGAGCAATGACTCTATGTTCCTTTTTGAACCCTCACACTGCTTCTGCTTGGTGTGTTGTTTCATTTTTGCATTTGAACTCAGTCAGGTGTTCCCTTTTTCCTATAGCTATGATAGTTTCATTTAAACAATATAAATTATTGAAATAGATCCGTTAAAATATACAAAAAGGCCAGAGTTTTCTTTCACTTTGACTGTATGGATGCCATGAAATTCCAGACATATACACACACACTCTCTAGTATCCATTGGGAAAGAAAAAAAAAAATCAATTTTAATGTAAATTGTCCTAATGTCCACTTTGTTCATATTATGTTCTTTGCAGGCATGTTATGTTCTTTGCAGAGTGAGACTTCAGGGTATTTTTGGTAAGTGCCAAATGTTAAAAACTTTTTCTAGTTAGGGTTTTTTCCTACACAGTTGAAACTCTAAACAGCATAATGCATTGGTAGTTAAAAGGAGTATGAAATGCATCTGAGGAAAGAGGCTGAGAAAGGAAGGGATGAAGGAAGAAAGGAGAATTACATCTAACCTCTGTGCCTCCTATCCTTCTGTTGTTCTTTGTCTCTCAATCACAAAACCAAAGTAACATTTACTTTGAGACAATGAGGAAAAGAGCAACAACTTAGCTGAGGACAGGCTCTGCAGACCCTGTTACTCATCTGGCAAAACAGGGTTGCCTTTCTCCAGTCCTTTTTCTCTCTTTTCTGCTGTGGTGAGCCAAACTACACAAAAAAAAAGCTCCATGGCAACTTTAGCAAAATCTTGTGCAGGATTATACTTCCATTTTCTGGGGTGAACAGACTTCCTCGTTACAGGGAGGAGAATGGATTCCCTTAGTAGATCTTTGTTAAAATTGAAGCAGAGGAGGTAAGAACTGTGGATGATATAATTTTTTCTTGTCTGTGAAACACAGGCATTTTTGGGAAGCTTGGCAAAAAGATGAGGGATTTAACTCTAGCTGAACTCTGCTAAAAGGTAGACTGCAGGATTTAGGGGAGAGTTATGTTGTGTAAGACATGGGTGACTGCTTTAATTTGGAACATAAGGATTTTTTTCAGGGGAGATAAGAGAAAGACAAAGACTGTAAAGGTTATTACAGAGATGCTGGAATTTGAGCCTGGGACAAGCCAGCAAATGAATGTCCATGACAGAGAGAGGGACCAAAATATTTCACGAAGTAATTAAGCTAAAATAGATGAAACAGCTGAGAACCAGGAGGCTTACATGGCTATTAAGAATCACTAACTTGTTCACTGACTGAGCAGACCCATCTGATTCATAATTTTGTATCTTAACAAAATAACATTTAAAGATTTGCTTGCTTTTGAAAAAGACTAAGATAAATGCAATGATTTTCTCTGAGTATGGCTTGGAGCCTCTGAATTTGTTTAAAGTGAAAGACCAGCTTTCTGTGCATTGTACCTGAAGTGATGAAAACAGCAAATATGTGTAATCAAATGATCACAAAGGAAAACAAATATGACACTTAGCACCTCTTGGCAAAGTAATAAAGAGGCTTAGAGAATCTAAACCACTCCACTGACTTCATGTAGGGTTTCATGTGGCTAAAATCATACGTGTCACTGAAAAAAAGAGGAATGTTTTTACATATGTAGTTTAAGCCCACAAGTTTTTATTCAAGCAAGCACATAAGCATACACATAAGTCTATGTATGGAAGCTCAATATAAAAGGCTTATTCTCTCAAATTATTTATCTTCCTATCTTGTAGGTAGAATTGTCTTGATATTATGGCTTTAAATAGCACAGGCAACAGAGCACAGGAGACCAGCACTACGTTCTATCTGATTTAATTATCAACAAATTTTGTCTACCTTGAGAGGATATAGTAGCAGTAGTGAAGTCCTCATCGCACATGTGATTGAAAGCTAGCCTTAAACATGACACAAACAATACTTAAATAAATTATCCAGACAGGTGGCAAATGACTGTGTATATAATTTCTAGGCTTCGTCAGATCACATATCCAGAGATCTAACTTTTTTTTTCTCTCCTTTTTTTCCTGTGTACCATTTCTAGTGTTCCTCAGAAATAAACAAGAGGCTTTCTTTTATTACAGTCAGCAATCAGTGTGAAATAGATTTTTTAGCCCAACAACCATATAACTCTGCTACATACAGAAACATGTATTTGCATTTCACTCTTCATGTTCTTATCAGAAATCAGTGTGCTTGTGCACAATGCCAGTTACAATCAGGTTCTATTTCTATATGTCTACATATGGTATATGTAGTTCCCATGTTGGTGATTTGCAGAAGTCAACAACCACAACACTGATTTGTGGATAAGAATACATAGGACACATTTTTTAAGCAGGAATATTCGGGTATATTTTGATGTTTATTATAATGTTCTTAAAGGAAAAGAAACAATTAAAGTCCAGTTCTAATCTGAGAGACAAACATAGGAATATTTGTACTCAATTTTCCTCGAGATGTAAATATGGCAAGAGTAAAAAGGAGAGAAAAAGTGAAAGGGAGAAAGCAGCACATTGCTAGAGTCAAGCAACTGCACATACAATGATAATTATCAAGATTTATTTCTTCAAGTTGGTCTGGGCAGTGCATCTGAGGAAAATACAACTCGGCAAAAAACATGATTTGCCAATCATTAATGTTTAACATTTAAATCCAATTACACTTAAGCACAAGGAAGAGGTGTTAGCAGAGGCCTATTTTTAAGACAAGGACAGAGAAAGGCAGAAATTGATAGCATTTAGAATGGGAAGTCCGAAATTTCTTGATCTGAACTCCAGTTAAGAATGATCAGATTATATTGCCTGTATTATTTTGTCTTCTGTAATCCAGGTAACCATTACAGACATCTGAATTCTCTTAGAAGAGCCATCCTACCTTATAATAAAAACCTAGTTAATCTATTTTAAAAAAATTAGGTTTATATTGAGAACTAATTTAAGTGTGTCCACTTAAGACATGAAGAGAGTGAAGGCTTCTGTGATTCATAGGCTAGTCACTGGAGTCTAATAAAGCACTTCAATGCAAAGGTCTTGCCAAGACCTATCTAAATGAGGGCATTCAGAGACTATGTAAAAACTGAAGTCTTGCACACAAGACTTACACACATGCATATATTCGCACATATGAAAGAGAATTTGCACTCAAAAAGTTCAGTTATTGTCAAGAATCTTCCAAATATCCATTGTTACAATCAAGTAAAGATGCAGATGGGTGTATATCACTGGAAAATGTGGAAAATACATACACACTTATATCAGTGTTGGTCTTCAGGAAAGAGGTGAGAGCTTTGTCAGTATGCATTTTTAGGAGTTATGTCAACTAGATTCCACCAAATTTATCTGATTGGCAAGGATAAAAAGCAGCTACTTATATAATTTTGAAAGACTTTGAAGTCTATCAAATAAAACATTACAGAGAAAATACTGGATAGCAATGATCTCAAGTAAAAAACCTAAATTTAATTATCAGAACAATAAACACAGTGATACAGATGGAGATGTACTACCTGCTCATTTCTAAGGCCACCGGCTATCAAAGCTAACACTGACCACATAAACAGAATCTGTTATTTCACTACATCACTGCAATTTTAACTCAAAATCTCATGAGTTAAGAGGTGACATCATTCAGTTCTGTCACTTAATTTACAAACAAAAGGTAAGTAAATATTTTGATACACACAAGCCAAGGAACACTTGGCTGGAGAGTGAAGATTCTCCACAGGCAGCAGAAAGCGCATTATAAGAATTATATAGCTGCTGCTCAAGAGAAGAAAAACTTTGGAAAATAATATGATTACTTGAAAACTAAAAACTTACATAAATTATCTACCCTGATTTATAAATGAAATTTTAATCATGTGTTTTGAGAAAATTAGGTAACTATAGCAAAAAAACAGAAACATTAACTATCCAATTTACATGACTCCAATATTAACTTGTCATACAACAGTGAAATCAGAATTCTATTTATAGAATACAAGCATTACTTTTTAGAAACAGAGATGTTCCCTATTTTTCCAACCCTGACGCCTTCACAAATATTTACAAGTCAACAAAGCTATGAGCAACGCTTACATTGAAACTATTCAACCAAGTTCTTGAATGTAGCTTCCTAGGTCAATACCATCTCCCAAAATGTTATTCATATCCTACTCTCCAACAAGGGCAGATTTTAAGTTCAGTACAACAGATGTGCACCTATTATTATATTTGCACATACGTATTTTGTCTACTCCTCCTTACACACTCTATTTTCAGGAACACAAATAGATATTTTCTAATCATTCAGAGAGAAAACTTAGGGATGACTTAGCAAATCAGATAACAGGGGGAAAGGATTTATAGTGTTTTAAGATATATTTGAGAAATTAATGGCAGCTTAGGGTGATTTTCAACTTCTGAATCAAGGTTGTGATATGAAACCTTTGTTGTGTAAATTGTTGATATTCCGAAGGAGAAGAGAAAAAAATTGATTTCTCTCCGTTCATCATGTTTATACCATGTTTGTATTGTACTAATACAATACTTCAGATCTTCTGTTGGTTACCTGTAAGGGCATATATAGATTTGGAAGTTGCTTTTTTTAAAAAAACCTCCTTGATGTATCAGTAGACTTTCAATGTATTTTCACCATTCTGTGAAGCACTAAATTGCCACAGCAAGACTAAATCTGACACAGTGATCCCAGAGGTTTTAAGTTCTCGAGTGAATCCCCTTGACCTGCTCATTTAAAATGCTCAGCTAGCTGGAATGACAGATATTTCTGGAGTGGCTTAAAGGTAAGATCTCTGAAGGCAAGATCTATTCACCAGGATGCATGGGAAAATTCAAACCTATCAATGCCTCTTGCAGGATTAGACCATTGGTGCTGCCTCATGATCTCTCCAATTCTTTTGCTGTCATTACTAATATTCAGGTCTTATTAATTTGCATTGTGATCAAAAGTCAGGACTAGGGCACTGGGAATTTTATGATGGAAGATTAATTCATGTAGAGAAAATGGCCCAGAACCTCTTGGATTAAGTATCTACCACACAGAATTAAAGGAAACAGAAGACCATGACTCTCTAGCCCTGTGTTTCTAAACTATATCTGAGATACAGTATCTGAAAGTGTAGAGAATATTTAATAATGAATATACCTTTTAATAATTTAGATTTTTCCTTCCCTTCAAAATCCCAGTATCTAGACCACAAAGGCTCAAATTTAGGATTCTGTGCAGAGAAAACATACTTCAATATTTTTTTGGCACAAGTAGCAAAACATAAGGAAGTTTTTAAAGATGAGTTTTAACACTGTAGCTGTGTCGCAGCAACTTATAAAACATAGGCTAATTTGATTAACATTTTTGCTGACACTAGGTTACAAAAAATTAACAGATACTTCCCTTTTCTGTCATTCTATCAGTAGTTCTTTGATAGAACAAAATCGAAAGAATATGCCAAAAGTCTTATTTTAAATAAATTTTCATAATTAAGTTTGATTACTTCTATTTCCAAATAGCTACAGATGTTTTTCTAATTAGCACTGGGAATTTTATACTGGCACTGGCTCTGCTGTCTTTTCCTACAGGAAATTGTACACTTCTACCCATTAACTTGAGTGAATAAAGAATGTCAACAGGATAACATGCACAAACATTCTGTTAGCCACATTTCTACACTGCTTTTTTTTATTGGGTGCATTCCCTCAGGAGTCTACACTGTTAATACTGTAAAATTATATTGAAAATGCCATAAAGCACACAGACATCTGACTTGACACCAGTATTGAATTTCAGCACTGTGTACTTAAAATGCCATTTAAAATATTGTCTAATGATTAGGTCCAGGCGAGGAGAAGCTGTCACAACATGAATAGTTAATTAAAATGATTACACTAATAAAAATTATAATATTACTCTCAGGAGAAATAATATGTAATATGTCCTTCTTTATCTGGGTTGTAATCAAGTATACTTGACACGTTGAGCAGTATTTTAACTTATTTCAATTTATTTCACAGAACGGTGTTAGAAGACACCATCGTGGCAAGTCTGCTGACTGGCCCCTGCAAAACCCTAACACTCTCCATGGAAACTGTATGAATATTGGATCTACACCTCTTCGCTTAGGCTGGTAGGTCTTGATACTTCTGATATCTGGGATATCTGTTGACAAGCATTGATATTGTTATGATTAAAGCAACAAATACAACCTTTCAGAAGTTTTGCCCTCAATTTACCATTTCCATAGCCTGAAAAGAAAGGCAAAGTTGTGTTCTATCATTTTCTGCACACCTGCTGTCAAATTTTGCTGTCAAGGTGTGTGCATATCTGCAATTAATGGCATTTACACATGCAGACTGGATAGGAAATGCATCCCTAGCGCATTTGATGTCTAATTACTTGCCCACTATTGCCCTAATTTGTGGAACTCTATCTTCTAGGAAGCATTTAAACATTCTGCTGAAAATTTATCTTTCAAGCTCTTTCTAATAATTCATACTGATTAATCATGCTTATATATTTGCATAAAGAGTACTGTATCAAGGCAAACAACTGATCTGCAAAGAGGAAAAGAAAAGCATACCAACATTACACCTTCAGCTACTGTTAATCAACCTAGAGGAATGTCACGAGCTGAGAACTAGCTTTGTTCTTCCATATGTTAAAAGAATGTCTTCTTAGGTTGACTTCTGTTGGTAGTTTACATTGAACTGTGAAAAACTTTATATGGTAATAAAGACTATTCCCTTATGTACTTTGGTAATGTGAACAGTAAGTAATGTAAGAATTACAGTTAATAAGGATTTTAGAACAAGGTTGCTTCTCAGATTTAAAATGCAATGATTTTATATGTTAGGGATTTATCCTATGCAGGTCATTTATGCATATCCTCTACATGTCATTTTTGTTTTCAGCTGAGCTACTCCATCCTGAGACTCATGTTAAAACTGGAAACAGGAAGATTAGAAGTAGGCAGCTTTGATCTGAATGCGTTTGATATTATCTTATTAGATTTGTCAGAATTTGAACTTTATAGGTGACCCTAGTTGTCCAGAAACGCAGCTGTTTGGTTGACATGGTGCTACAAGTGAAATTCCCCTGCATATAGATGAATAGCCCTGACTGGAGATTAGGCTCCAAGCACATGAGAATTTAATCTCCAAAGTATCATACTCTCTTATTAAGCCATGCATAACATGCTACTATATTCAGATGATCTGAAAAGACTCTGCATACAATAAAAAAGAAAAAGCAATAAAACATTTTCCTCACTACTGTGAATTTCCACTATTCAGATAGACAAGATTTTCTCCCATTTCCACTGTCATGTATTCATTCACCATTCTTTGAAGTCTCTATTCGCCTTAATGTATATTTAATCTTTCTACCTTTTTGCAAATTCCCCTCTCAGTTTTTCACTCCATTTGCTGCCACAATCTTGCCTTCTGCCCATCTGCATCTCTATTCCATGGCTCACTGCTTTCTTTCTTTTCTGTTTATTACTTCCCATTTTCTCCAATAACAACTTTTTTTTCAACTTTCTTATTCTTGTATAAACATAAAAATAACCACATTGTCCCTAAGAGTGACCAGAAGTAGATTCTCAGGAAAAAACATACGAACACAGCAAGCACAGGGTGATATGTCCCATGGTGTACTCTCTCTTGAATTCCTGTTGTGTGCAATAAAGCGACACCTTGAGGCAGTTTGCACACCTTACTTCTATTTAATAGCTGTTGATGGACTTTTCTTCTATGAAGTGAAATAACTGCTCTTTGAAATCACTTACACTGTCTGCAGAAGTATTTTACATTTGAATATACTTGCATTCATTTAAAATATGCTATTAGTGTTTGGATTGTGAGAAACACAGAATAATCATTTCCTATGTACATTTTCCATGCCATGCATGACTGCAAACCTAGATCACACCCCTCCTGATATAAGAGCAAAATGAGGAGCCTTTTCTGTTCTTCTTTTCTTCTCATACCAAAGTTTTGATCAGTTTTGTCACCCCTCCCATAAGCCTTTTCTACCTCTACTACATCTTTCTAACATGAGCTGACCATATCAAAATGCGCAAAATATTCAAAAGGTGAGGATACATCACTCATTTATATAGTGGTATTAGCTCCCATTTTTATCTCTTGTCAGCTCAGTTTCTTGAAGAACCTGTGAGAATGAACTAAGTCTAAAGCTTTTTTGAAATTCAGGTGTATCAGCTGGACTGTTGTTTACTCATATGCTTACTGACTGCCATGAATTGCTGTGAGCCCCTCTACAAGAATCACGTAGATTCTTTTTTTCCATGCAAAAAATATTTCAATATCAGATTTTTACTGATTTGCCTTCACTTCAGAAATCAGATTTATTCTCATGCCCTTCCTGTTATCCTTCATAAAGTGTTGTCACTTTTCCCAGCTTCTATACTACTAGAACACTGACTGACAAGAGAGATAAGCAATCAGTTAATAGTTGCTTATTTTTCATATCTGTCTGCCTTTAGAACTCGCTGGTGAATGGTCTTTGCTCTTGGAAATGTTTCTTCATTTAGGTACTCAAAACGTCCCTTCACTGCAGTAACTACGTATCCCTGGATCTCTCAGTTCCTCCTTGTTTCAACACAATCCTTCTGGTTGATGCATATCCACACTTCCATTTTTTGCATGTTATCTGGCAGTTTCTAGTATGAAATCTGAATTCTGCTAGCCCAGGTGCTGTCTAAGTCTCCTGAGTCCCAGGTATCCCCAGACCAGAGATGTATCAGAATATATGAAAGTTTATCTTTCCAATATTAACTTATTCTCTTTGATTATAAAAAAAAAAAGATACTCTAATTCTTTTACAATAAAAATACCCCAGATGTCAACTATTTATTCAGTTTTCAAAGTACAGTTCAAAAGAATCCTGTAAAATAATGTTGATTTGAGTTTTATGTTTTAAATATTGTTAGACTTTTTTTAATCAGGCAACATTTCAGTAGACAAAACAGGTGATGGACAACATTGCAATGTCATATTTCAGTAGCATTTTTCACTTAAATTCTGGGTCAAGCATGAGAGGGAAAAAAATAAAACCACAGGTAAATAAAACCTAATATGACTAAAATGACATGGTTTATTAAGGACCTATATTAGTTTTTTATTAAGCTGACAAATATTTTTCTGCTACGTAAGCATTTAAATCTTTTAAAAAGTACTCCCAAACATCTATGATGTCCTTTTAACCTCTCTCAAACTTCCCTTCAGCAATGATTTCTTGGGTGTCTACTATGTATCTCTATAAGGTGAAATCAAAAATCAAGAGCTCATTTTAGGGTTCAGTTCTTTTTGTGCACTGGAGATGATGGACTCAGATCTTTAAAACAGAGCAGAGAACCAGATTTAATTTCTTTTAGTGCTGTAGGTACTCAGGATACAACCACTCTAGTATCATAAGTAAACAAATAGCCTCCACTGAAGTCTCAACAGATAAATTTTAAAAACCCCAATTCTCTGTTACACTGAGGGGTATTTTTTTGGAAAAGTGCTAATTACAGAATTATAACTGAAAGTGTTAAGAAAACACTTCTTCCCCCAAATAATGCTAATGTTCAAATTACTGTTTTAAGTCTATTATTTTCTTTTATATTTTGAACTGTTAGAGCTTATATCTTTAGAAGTTTGTCTGTAAATCAAGAGGACTCAAACCCAAGAAAAAACAAGTGTCTAAAGACTCACTGTTATATAACCAACAATGGGAAAAAAAAGAGAGGAATATCATTGCAAGAATCCCCTCAGGGTCAGCTGCTTGTGACTCTGCCAGCCAGTTACTGTATTGTATGAAATGTTGTCTTTTGACCTGCAGGAAAGAGATGCACATTTGATGGAGAACGAGGGGGCAAACAACACATCTGGAATTGATCTGTGTGTACTTCAGCAGGGAGAGAGAGAGAAAGAGGAAAGGTTTCTATTAAATATGAAGAGAGGAAAAAACTGATAAGCTTCAGTGAATGCCAAGATGACTGTTCAGTCACAGTACAGGAATGCATGCTCTGTGCTACATGAAGCATGTGCATTAGTGCTGAATGTCACAACCATTTTGAACTGAAACTAGGAAAAAGACACAAACAGTGGCTGAAGATCTGGAGTTAGCAAAATTAACATGGTCAAAGATATTGAGCTAGAAACCTTAACAATTGGAGTTATTTTCTAAAAGTGAGATTATTTTAAATGGAAAATAATTGTCAACAACTGACATTTAGTCATAACTACATTACTACTATTTTCCCATATTTCATTTTGATATTTTTGTCATTAATGTTTGTTGTCATTAAATGAAGGGTCTTTAATGAAAGATCTTCCCAGAAATAGTTTCAGGTCTGCTTTCCTAATAATATAGGGACATTTAGATTTTACTGCAAATCCATAGCAATTTATTTCACAGCCAGGTGGGAATGAATACATAGTTCAATTATCATAACATTATTGGAAAACCTTCATATTTCACTTTCTATTTAACCACAGGATCATTGCCTTTCAGATTTGCATATTTTGTACAAGGTATGCATATTGTATTTTATGCAGTATGTGTTCAAGTTTGCTCCCAGTGAGCAAAGCAAAGAAGCTTTAATGAGCATACTACTTCAGCAGGAACAGAATTAGTGTGGTTTGTATTTTCAATCCCAGCTTAGTGTGTAGGCATATTTGTGTTGATGCTGAATCATACATTAACGGATACTTGAAGATAGGGGCCTCTTTCCAGGGTGGACATCTCAAATATCAATTGACTTAAATTTTGTTAAATTATTTTAACAGTTTATAAAAAGTTTTATAAAGTGAGAATAGGTAAAATATAAACTGAGTCCTAAGTCCACCATTCACAGAGGCTAATTCATAATTGTGGGAAACATGCAGATTTAATAGTTACCTTAAATGTATTTTGATTTTGGAGGACAGTTTATGAATGCAAGTGTCTGCAAGGTCAGTTTGAGAATGGAAATCATTTTCAGACCACTTGACATACCTTAGTAGCAACATGCCACTAGAAACTCCTAAACTTAAGACTCACTGTGTTTTCTGTAACCTTGAAACATAGGCAAATTCACTTCAGTGTACTTATACAGGGTTCCAAAGGAGGACAAATTGGAGG